TGTTGTTATGTGCAAATGAAGAAATAAATTCCATATAATTAATAAATATTTCATCGGCGATTAAAAATTTCACTAAAGTCTAAAGTTTGTTTCATGATCCTGGAGCCAGGAGCATCAATTTAAAGTTCTCTGTACATTATTGTATATATACTGATTTCGCATGGTCTCCTGAAGATATATTAACGAACGAAATAAATTATATAACATAATTTATTATTTCTTTCCGCTTTATGAATTTAAGCAAACCACGTCAGACAAGCTTTTTAGGAAAGCTAATACTTGTCACTAGTAACTTTAACTTGGCCGCCGACAATAGTCGCCTCGACTCACAGGGGCATGTGTAGATAAAATAACTCAGTTTAAAAAAATGAGTATATATCTCAGAGAAAAAAAACACAAGGGAGGACGCCATTTTGGATACCACCTCGCTTCAGCAGCTATTTTCTCGCTTAAATTGTTAAAGTAGAAAAGAGCTTGTTTGTTAAAAGAGTTTGTTAAAAGACCGACTTAGTGTCGCTCGGTTACTATTTATAATAACAATGAAGGTAAAAGTAAAGTCGTACCCAAACTGAAATATTTGAATATTTAATTGGTAAACTCAGATGCTTTCATTTTATCAATGACTGTTATTTCACTTCTTTGCTTTTCTGTTTGAAAGTATTTTGGTTTCACTTTTTTTCCAAAATTTGTTGAATCTGGACTGAATCTGGGGTAGTACGAAATATTCTCTAAGTCACGTGTCATACTTTCGTTTTCTGCAGAAGCCAAGGAGTTGTCGATTTTGGATGTTTATGTAGACAAACATAGATTAAAACTGCAAGTAAGACATTCAAGAAAAAACATTAATTAAGCGATATGAACTGGCTCGTTTGTCTACTTTAACAATTTAAGCGAGAAAATAGCTGCTGAAGCGAGGTGGTATCCAAAATGGCGTCCTCCCTTGTGTTTTTTTCTCCGAGGTACTCATTTTTTTAACTGATTTATTTTCTCTACACAAGCCCCTGTGCTCGACTTCGACAGTTTGAAACATGTTCTGATGTAGCATGTTCGTGGTCCGTGTTATCGGCACGGCATATAACACATGCATCATTCACAGAAATATCATTTTATTGCGTGGACCCTGAGGTCCACGCAGTAAATATATAAGCGAGGTTAAACCGGATGCCATGGGCAAACGACAGGCTACGCATGCGCGAGAATGCTAGAGAGTTCGCCCATTAGGCCACATGCCCGTAGAAAAATTCGCCCTATTCGAATTAGAATATGCCATTCATTGGCAAATCGCTCTTTTAAATCCGCATATCGTATTTATATATTCATTGGCGGATCCGAATTTTTCTTTTATACATATACGTTTATATAAAACCTAAACATTGATTCTATGGCACAAGCATTTTAAAAAGTTAGAAGAACTTGCAGTATATAGATACATGTAACTTAACAACTTGAATAAAAAACGTCATTCAACGACTAGTTCTGGCTTTTAAAAGATAGAACAAGTTTTCACCGGCATTAATAATTAGTTTTGTGCATCAAGGCTCACAAAATAATTTGATATTTCAGCAATCCAAATACCGTTTGATAGAGGTCTGTAGCAACGGTTTTACAACATGCTTTACATGTACCATCAGATCTATTTTTTCCATGATAGATTTCCTTGATAATTATATGTATGACAGTCCGAATCCTTCTGTAAAATTATTTTTTTCCCAATTTTTAATAAAATATAACAAAGATGTGACTGATAAGAACTCTAAATTAATTATAACCTCAGGTTACTTTTGTTGCCCTAATTTTCATGCTATTAACATTAAAAAGGGTCAATGATCAAATTTTTGAGATATGTAATTTGGAATAGTTTAATTTTGTTCATTTTTTAATTTTTTTTATTTCGTAGCATTCAATTGTTTGAAACAATTTATGAGCTTCAAAACACATACTATTTGTAAATTGAAGTTTAAGAATATAAGTAATCTTTACATCGAGGTTAATATTGCAAGAAATAAAAGATTCTGACAAAAATGAAAATTTATTAAAATTTTAGTTCGAATTTCCTCTACATTAAAAATATTGACTTTTGTTCACGTACATTTTCTTCAAATAATAAAACATGAATTTTTAAAATTGATATTAAGTTAAAACTAAGTTATTTTATCCATTTAGAGCAATTTCTGATTTAAAATACATGTATTTTACTTTATAAAATTTTATTCCCGTTTCCTGAAACCTGAGTAAACGTCATCACTAAGCCTTTTTTAAAAGGCTTTATTACGCCTTTCTAAAAGAGGTTATTTTTCAATACATGACTCACCTAGCTAACCGTGGTGGTGGGGGACTTAACTTCGGGACATTAATTTCACAATCACAAAGGGCTTAATTATATAATTTCATTTGAAGCATATACTAAGTATGTTGTTAAACTTTTCTCTCGCCATTCCATTTGGTCCCTCGCTTCGCTCGGCACAAAATCTCATGATATTCAAGAAAAGTTTACCAACATATACTTGGAATGGAAAGGCTAATGACGCCTTTTAAAAAGGCGTTTATGGAAAGGCGTAATAACGTTTTTTTCCGCGTTATTACGCCTTTTCAAAAGGTGTTATAACGCCTTTTAATTTTTCTCTTTATTGATCGATCCAAATGTAGAGATATTGCGCGAACGGATTTTTTTGAATGGATAGACGTAATAACGCCTTTTTCCGCATTATTACGCCTTTTAGAAATTTTAGTAATTTAATTTTTCTCTCTATTGATTGATCCTAATTTAGAGATATTGCGCGAACGGAATTTTTGGAAGGGGACCAGACTATGTTTAAATTTAATATCATTTTTAGTAATCAATAGCTCCACTGGTCAGAGACCAGAAGAGCTTATGCGATGATAAGGTGTCCGTCTGTCTGTAAACAATTTTTCAAAATGCTACTACTCCTACAGTTTTGGTTTGATTTCTATACATTTGTATAACTTGGCACACAAGTTGACTACACGAAGATACATAAAATAGTGCATCGGTTTTTGATTTCGTTCAACGTTGTTGCCATGGTTACTAAAAATGGAATTTTTTGTGAAATTTCCTTAATACGCTACACCTCAAACAATTTTGGTGTGATTTCAATATCTTAGCACACAGGTAGACTACACTTAGATACATAAAATAGTGCATCGGTTTTTGATTTCGATGAATGATGTTGCCATCGTTACTAAAAATAGTATTTTTTTAGAAATTACTTTAAAACGCTACTCCTTCTACAGTTTTGGTCCGATTTCAATATAACTTTGCACGGAAGCAGGGATGGGGTCAATTACTTTAAAAAGTAATTAATTAAATTACAATTACTTTGACTTTTTCTTCAATTAAATTACAATTAAATTACAGACTTTCTAAGACATGTAATTAATTAAATTACAATTACTTTACAAAAGTAATTAATTAAATTACAAATTACATTTTTAATTTTTTGAAATTTTTTATAATCACATGAATATAAGAACCGGGATCATTCATTTGTATATAAGTGCAGCCTCTGCATAAACAATACAAGAATTAATATTCTAGTAGAAATTGTATATATTTTTGTGGTTTAAATCAACTTTTATTTACAAAACAGTAAAGAACTATTCAAGATCAGTTTAATGCAATTGCCTCCACGCAAAACCTGCATGTACACAATTTGAATGGGTTATGATATTTGATTAACACGTTTTTTTTGAATAGAGTAAAATAAGTCGCAACTATAACCTTTCAAATTAAACATTTCTTTTAAAGGTAACCTAAAAAAGTAAACATCCTAAATTGATAGTTATGTTGAACATTTTTACTTCATATTTATTTAATACTTGTACAAAACATATCTTGTTCAGATACAAAATTCATTCATAAAATTCTGTTTAGATGTTAAAATAATTATCAAATTGAAAATGTTTCTTATCTCAAACCAGCGAAGCATTTTTAATTGAAATAATTATCCCCATGCACTGGCTTTGTCATCATAATCATGGAATGAATACGTCTTTAGAGGGCCCAGGGGTTGGTTTGTTTTGATTGCAATTTACAGCTGTGATCTAGAGGGCAATTATCTTTTAATACCAACAAGAGAGAACTTCATTAATGATATTCACATTCCCTTTCTTTTTTTTTCTTGACACACACATTTCTTATTCTACATTGATCAAACAACAGAGATTGAAATATAATAAATTATGTGTGTTTCACAGCTGAATATAGACCTATTAAAGCATGGTGGTGCAAGATTTAGATAAACATAAAACAAAAAAAAAATCTAATTCTATATAATGATAAGAAGAAACTTCATTATATAATTATAAAATAACCTGTCTTCTGTATAATTGAAGGACTGAGCATATGTTTTGCAATTAAATAAAAGACAGTATAATGGGGAGGTCATGGTGACAATATATCATGCATGTGTATTATATAAAGTAATTGAATGTAATTGAAAAGTAATTGAAATTACATGTTATTTTTTCATTGTAATTAATTAAATTACAATTACAAGTAATTGAAAAAATGTTCAATTACAAATTACATTCAATTACTTCCAAAAATGTAATTAATTACAGTCAATTACAATTACTTTTTTCAATTACCCCATCCCTGCACGGAAGTAAACTACACCAAGATACCTAATGTAGTGTATCGGTTTTGGATTTCGATGAAAGGTGTTGCCATGAATACTAAAAATAGAAATTTCTGTGAAATTCCTTCAAAGCGCTACTGTCTCCTTCTACAGTTTTAGTGCGATTTCAATATATTTTAGCACACAAAAGGCTACACTAAGATGCATAATTTGATGCATAGGTTTTGATTTCGATGAATAGTGTTGCCATGGTAACTAAAAATAGAAATTTCTTTAAAATTCCTTAAAAACACTACTCCTCCTACAGTTTTGGGCTGATTGCAATGGTTTCTTTTCTCTTCCTTTGTTATTAGTACAAACCAGAAGAGCTACAGTCTCGACAGAGACTTCTGATCACTCATGCAAGCGTTTTTTTTTTATGGATAGGTGGAAAGGAAAACGCATCACCAAATTACGTTCGGATGAGAGTCAGCAATGTTCCAGTGGCAGACATGGCCAAAAGTTGCAAAAAATATGGATATGACGTATTTATGGATGACTCTTTGGCGAAATCCGTACAGTTGCGTGATCATGAAAGTGTTTATTTTCCCGTTTGTCCCATTATTAAAATAAATAACCAAAGTATTGCTGTTTGCAATCCATGGATTTCTAGAATAGGTAATTTAAAAGTAAATATTCATAAAATCAAAAATTAAACGCATTTGATATCATAATAAAATAGTTGTTTATATTTACTTTCTCTGGCCTCATTTTTATGAGTTTTCTAGCTCATTTCTTTTTTTTGTTTTGAATATTTGTTTCTTTTCATAATTTGCTAATTTTACTTAAGTTAATTATTTACACTTACGTATTTTTTACTCTTTTTTATATCAGGTTGCTACAATATCACAGTAGAGATATTAAATAATCATACGGAGATGGATTGTAGAAACATCGACATAACAAAATGGGGAAAATCCCTTCCACTTATAGGAAACACGGTATTAGCTTCATGTTTTCTTATATAACTATGTAATACCGGTCTTGTAGAGTAGGCTTTCCCCCTAAAATCCCCTCGGAAAACTGGCTCTATAGTAGGATCCCCCAGGAAAATCCTACTCTACAACACCTGTAGGTGTTCGCCGGAGAGAAAAAAATTGTTGCTTCATTCAGTAATAAGAACATGTGCTTACATTCCCAATAAAATAAAGTACTACTCTAGAAAATTCATTTGGGGTCAACTTTCGTTCATTGTTAAAATTTTAGAGGTTGGCAAGGAGATAATATTATATGACTATTGCATTTAGCTGAGTGTAACGTTGAAATATTTTCCATGTTACACTAAACTACATGCAATATTTATTATATTATACTGGCTGTTGTATACAGAAACATATAACAGTGAATCATGCGCGCATAAAATCTGCGCAATCGCTATTTTTTTTTTTTTTTTGGAATATCACCCGTCGTCAAGCAATGTTGACTGTTGCTACGCTGGAGGACGTGGCTTCATTATTCAGCGGGTAATAATGTTTTTTAACAAATATTTCTCGACCAATCAGATTCAACTAATTTACATGAAAGTATAATATTATACATTTATTGACTGAGTACGAGAGCAACATGCATTTTGGCGGACACAAGATTCAAAACTATCTGTCTGAGGCCGATAGGCCAGTGGTAGGTAGTTTGGGTCAAGGGTCAATAAAATGCATTTTGTCCGAGAACACAGTCAATAAATGATTCGTTATACCTTTCATTTAATTTTTTAAAAATATATATACTTGTATATTGACCTTGTCTTCCGTGATGTAACCTCAGGTCCGTCACTTATGAACACCAACGAATACAAATGAGATTAAGCTCCATCCGTTCTGTGACGCAAGCGGTCCAACATCTCATCGTCAGGTTCAACATCTCAATCAGCGGTCAAACATCGATATTGTTATGTAAATTTTTCAGTAAAATATTAGAATTGCCAGACTTTTTTGGTATAGATTTGCATAGGAACAAATATTTAAAGGGTTACAATACCGGTAAATATTAATTCTTTGTTCAACTGCACTTAAATTTCAAACACGACAGAAATTGTAATTTTTGCCGTAAAAAATCAGCATTTCATTACACTTAAAAAGGGTCAGCAGGAATAGTCCGTAGATGCATTTTTACATATACGTAGAATTTGCTAAAAATGCTTAAAGCGATATCGTTCTTTCATTTATGAAGAACACGAGATTATCATGAAAAAAATTAAGAAAGAAAATAATATAATACGTAGCAACGGTTCTGCTGTATATAACAACGATTGAAAAATAATGGGTATTGTTTAACAGCATTTAATTTCCCTATGCAGATGTAGCTGTGTGTGTACTCTTGAGGTTGATATAATATAAATATAATACATGTACATAGCAACGGTTAAGCTTATATAACAACAATTAAGAAATAATGAGTATTGTTTAAGAGCATTTAATTTCCTTATTCAGATGCAGCTGTGTATATGTACTCTTAAGGATGATAGATATTTTAATTACATAATAACTTCAAGTTCATAATAATCGTCAAGTGTAGTTGTAGCTACAGATCTGTTGCGTTGTGGTTTTATATTTTTGTCTTTGACCATAACGCTAAAGATTCCGTAATGCAAAAAAGGTGGAATTTACGGTGAAATATTTTTGCGCACTTTTTCTCCATTTCCCAGCATCGGCCAATTAACTACCGTTCACTCCCCAACTCTAGGCACATTATTTAACTAATCTGTATATTTTATCCATCTACCTACCCTTTATAGTTGTCTTTTCAAGTGATAAACTCGCTTAGTTCAAATTATATGTTAGATTGATGAAAATTCACTTCAAGCGAGTTTGTTGCCAGGAAAGACAACTATAAATGGTTGGGAGTTGGATAAAATATACATGTACATATTGGCCAAAGAATGTGCCTAGAATTAAGGAGTGAAAGGTAATTAATTGACCGATGCTTGAAAGTGGAGAAATTCTCCCAAAAAGTGCGCAAAAAAAGTGCGCCGTAAATTGCACCTTTTTGGTCAAAGACAAATATATCAAACCATAACGCTACAGATCTGCAGCTAGTAGTGTGTAGTTGTACATGCAATACATGTACTCGAAATAGACTTCAATTTATTGCCATGAACAAGGGAGGAGTTCAGTTCCGGGTTAATTCTGGGTTAATTATTCTACATTGCTTGAAATACCAAAGTCAGTGTTTGCTCCAAAACTCACCTCAGACATACAATGATATAGGTATCATAAAGTTCCACCTAAAATAAAAATAACAACTCATAATTATATGATTGACTTCCAAAATAAGTTTCAAGACTGAAACTCCTTATGATTATTTAACTACTAGTTTTTTTTAAGTTTATACTAATATTAGATTAACGAAACAGAATAAGGTAAATGAAATACTGGGAATATGCATTCAAGAAAATACGTACAGTCCTCAGCCTTCCTTTTTCAAATTATCTGTTTGTGGAAAAGATTTGCGATGTGTGAGAAGTCCAGACTGAAATAACATTTTAAGACCGAAGTATTCTAGATTGACTCTTGCAATTTTTTTTGTATATATATACATGTATCTTAAATAATCAAGACGTAGCCTTGTTTAGATGTGTACATGTATAAAGGCTTGTAAATTAATTTCTTCTTTGTTTTATACGCAGACTCGTTCCTCTTGCTACTTGCTGGATGGAAAAGTGAAAGACGAGAAATTACGAGTTTCCGATGCTTACTGCACAGGAGCTGGTTCTGACGATTCCAATCACGACAACAGAACGGAGTTTGTCACTCTGTTTTCTATAATTGACAGTAAGTTTATTTCATCTATTAATAACGGAATTTTGTTGTGAATTTTGAATTAAAAAGATGAAGTTGATAGAATTTATCAATTGGTGAAGTATTTATTTCATGCAAAAGAATTAAAAAATATATTAATTAACATGAAAAAGTAGGCTTTAATTTTTCTTGATCGGTTGCATGAGTACTCAGTCTTATTTAACTAACAAAATCGGTTTATGCACTACGAGTTTAATCGCATTTATTTGATTATTACCTCACCCGAGCTAAAAAATCAAGTGAGCCTCTCTAATCACATGGCGGCGTCCGTCTGCCTAACTCTTCATATTTTCGACTTCTCAAAAACCACTGTGTTAATTAATTTTAACCAAACTTGTCACAAAGAAGCATTGGGTAAGGAGTATTTAAGTTTTTTTGGTAGGAAGACAAGTGCCATGCCCACTTTCAAGGGGAGATAATTTAGAATTTGTCAAAATACGGTAAAATAGAAGTTGGCATCTGTTAAAAAAATTTTAGGTTAGGGTTAGATCTTGGGTTTTCAAGGTATTAAGAGACCCATGAATTCATGACCACGTCCAAATGTTAGATTTCATATGCATTGCAACTAAACATTATCCAACCACGAAATCAAATCCCCACGAACTGTAATTATTTTTCCCCAAACCTTAAAAATTTGACCCCACGAAAATATGTGATTTTAGATGCAGTGTAGAAGCATTCTCAGGGAGTGTGGTTTCAAATTTGTTTAAATCTTGACCCCATGCTAGGGTTGGGACACAATGGACAGTTATCATTTACCTAGGAACATACTGTAAATTCCTAAATATACGCGTGGAATTAATTAAAGCGTAATTTCGCGAGGAACACTAGTCGCGAAATAAAATGACTCGCTTTTATTTTTATGTTGCTAAAAACAATGTAAAATCTCTTGACGAACCGTCCATTCGCGAATTATTCTTCTCACGATTTGACGTTGAAGAGGCCGTTCGCGATAATAAGTACTCGCGGAAAATAAGGAATCTACAGTACATGTAATGGGAAAAATATCTTCTCCTCATGAACAGAAAAGACACGATTAATTATACTGATAAAGAATAAATTCAAATTTCTCCCTCCTCCTAAACTTTACAACACTGAATTGATTTCTGCTTTTTCTAAGCCAGTGCGCCTATATGGGCCTCTTGTTTGTAAAAGCATTCATTTTCTTTACCTGAATTGTTGGTATCTTTCTTTATTATAAAACCGTATTACCGTATTAAACTTAAATCATTAACTGTGCTGATTATTATTTCTCATTTTGTATAATGGAGATGTAGTATACTAGTCTAGTAACTTGTATATATACTGACACGCAAAAGAAAAGCAACATCCCAGTTTTAGAGAAAATTAGACACGGGTTATAACTATGTACCAAAAAATTAAGGGCATCTCTAACTTTGTCAAATCAGTTATTTAACGGTTGAATGATTTTCATTCCATTACCGGAAGTTGATTTTTAGCCCTCTTAACAGAAATCAAAAATTTGTATTCTAATAAAATATTTGACAATATTTTAGGCTTTCAAGGTTTTGTAGCTGTTAATCATAAGTATTGTACTTAAATTCCGAATTTTTTTTCTTTTCCGGATGCTTTTGAAACACAAGAGCCTGAAAAGTCGTTATGTAGTGCATAGTTGCATCTGCATCTCTCCTTTTTCTTTATTTTGAGAATTTGAAGCATTAGTAATGAAAATCCGTGCTTTCAGCCATTTTGAGGAAATATAGGCATTACATACAGAAAAGAAAAAAAAAGATTTTTTTTCGGAATTTAAGTACAATATTTATGATTAACAGCTACAAAACCTTGAAAACCTAAAATATTGTCAAATATTTTATTAAAATGCAAATTTTTGGTTTCTGTTAAGAGAGCTAAAAATGAACTTCCGGTAATGGAATGAAAATCATTCAACCGTTAAATAACTGATTTAACAAGGTTCAAGATGCCCTAATTTTTTTGGTACAAAGTTATAACTCGTGTATAATTTCCCCCCTAAAATTGGGGTGTTGCGTTTCTTTGCATATCAGTATATATTTTTGGGGCAATTATATTAGGTACGCGATGGTGCGTTTTTAAGTACAGTTGTCAATTTTATATGAGTAAAAGATAAAAGAATACAATGTACTGTAAATCACTTTTTATTCGCGAGAACTTAATTTTGGCGTAATTACGCGAGACAATGAGCTCGCGAAATTTTCATTCTCCCGTTTGAAATTATTCCTCATCTTTATGTAGAGGAAAAACAACAATTCATGAAAATTATGTCTCGCTAATAAGGAGTCAATGACTAGGCCTATATCGCGAAAATAAGGTGTCGCGAAAATTTAGTGATCTACAGTATTTAAGGTATGTCTCTCGTCAGCTTTTTAGAAAGGTACACGCAGATCCTCCTTAAAAACTATTTATTATAATTCAATTTTTATAACATATTTAAATTCAACAATGTAAATTGTTCAAATCTAATTAAAAAATAGGGCTGGGCAAAAAATACCCATATTTCGATAAATTGTAAAACAATGACAAAAAAATATCCCATTGCAATACGTTTTTGTAATATCGATATATTGGCAAAATGCAAAGACTAAGGAATTTTACGATTTAATATAGAAATAAATTTTAAGAAAGGCTTGTTATTAAACCAAACAGTAAGAAAGAAGCTTTTTTATGGATGAATATGAAACATATTTCAAAGCATAACTTTAATAAAATCAACAAGATTTTTTTATTCCTTTTGGTTACTTTTCATAGTTAAGAGTATGTACATTCTGCATGTAAATTGAAGTTAATATAATAAAAACAAAATATACTGGAAAAAATGCCATTGTAATTTTCATTGAAATATTGCAATACAGTTAAAAATATTGCAACATATCCCAATACGAAATCTCTGGCCAATACCCAGGCCCTATTAAAACTGCTAAAAAAAATCCACAAATGAGCAAGATTTACGAGGGACTATTTCTTGTGGTGGAAGGATATTTAGCAGAAAATTCTGCAAATCTGCACATTTATAAAATTTAATATCTTGGAACTTTATTCTCACATACTTTTACTCAAAGAATATTTTTCGTCATGATATGCTGGGAATATTTAATATAGATCTTAATTTTTAAAAATATTTAGAATAAATTTTACACCTTCCCTCAACAAACTTTGTCGAGAAATTAAGATATGTTAAAAAAGTCCCGATAAAATTTACATCGTTTTTCGCCTGAAAATCAAATGTTTCACCAATATTTCAACATCATTGACCCAAACTTATTTCTTTCATTATTTTAAACTACTCAATACTTAAAACTTGTGACTGATACTCGATACAATAAATATTTTATAGCCTATTTAGATTTTTAATACCCCAAACATGTTACTTTTTACTTTTTAGTGCAAAAAGGTCACACAATAAATTACGCGCATTAATTAATTTGCAAGATTTGTTCAATGGTAAATATTATTCAAACTACTATACGTAAAATAAGATTAACCAAAGAGTTTAAAGTTAAGTACAAAAAGGTCAACTTAATTGTACAGTAGCTCAGTTAGGTGCACACTAACCCCCTATTACCTTTGCGATTTTGAGTCATACTATATGAGTACATATCTTGAAAATAAAATCCATTGCAATGTAACAGATAACGATAACCCTTGGTATTTTGTCGTTGTCTCTTCTTTATGTACAAATCTCTGTACATAATGTAATCATTATTGAGTGCCTTTTGGAGCCATGGAATGGCAATAACTCATTTTTATTATATATAACAATCTTTTGAATTATCACTGAAAATTTTTAAACATGTCTTTATTACATAATTTAGTAGATACAACTCCGTTGACAGATGACACAAAATCAGAATGTGTGGCTACTCACAAAAACTTTGAATCTTCTCAAATCTTTGAACATCGTTGTGATGAACACTGCGATACATACTGTATTGAGGACGGTAGGTATTTTTTCAAAATATCACAAGAAATGTAAAACATTCAAATGACAGATCTTCTGGTCATCTTTGTGTAAAATTTAATGAATATTAGGATTATTTACCTTAATTTTTCTTCACAGCTTATCTTACACTAGTAAATGCAAGATGTAAAAGAAAGATAAGTTTTATTTAAAAGTTAAGGTTTGTCATAGTTGAATTCGTACCGACTCGATAAATATAGCATGCATAGGCATTTGAAAAGAAAATTATCTGTGTGCTTAAAATATTTTACAAATATGCGGCACCCCTGCAATTATGGAGCATACATCATCTGTTTCAATACCTTTCTTTTTTGTTACAACAAAACACAGATTAAACCTTATCAGTAGCCAAAAATGGACTACTGTATCACTAATATTATAACGATAAACTTAATTGAATTTGTTTTTCGAAATTTGTTTACTAACCACTTTACCTTTGTATTATTTTTTCAGACGGGGTCAATCTTAGTTTTGAGGGTTTCAAAGCTTGGGAAGATGCTCGGGAAATTTGCCGCAGTCTAAATAGTTCTCTTCCTAATGAAAACTTCCAAATCTCTGATCCAACGCAAGTCCAAAATAAAACTGTAGTCTGTCTATCTGTTTTTAAAAGTTCATCTGTTTCATTTCAACCTTTCATCAAGTTAGCAAGAAATGAAAATGGAACTATAACTATCAACGATTCTACTGGAGAGACCCGGCAGTATCTGTGTGGCATAAAATTAGGTAAACTATCTTTATGAAAAAAAGTGTTGGAAAAGGTTACCTTTTCTCTTTGCTTGTTTTCCTTAAACAGTAGTATACATATATGTACTATAATAGAAGTACCAAGAATGTTCTCGCTAATTATATGATTCTTTTAGGCTTCGTTACCTTCATGCAATTTTTTTCGCAAAGGCTGACTTCCAGTGTATGAATATTGATTTATCTTATAAGCCAGTAAACAAATACATGTACATAATTTTGAACAGTGAATAACCCGTAAACATTGAAACCCCAGGGATGGGATCAGTAACACAGAAGGGTTGAGCATCCTCTGTCGACTGATCACACTGTGGGCATGTAATACATGTATAGTAATGCATAGTAAATATGCCCTTTGAATCTTTCATTTCTTGTCGTTCAGATCTTCAAGTCTTTCTTTGAATTTGAAGAGAACATCATTTTATTAATTCTCAAAATTTATTTTAGATTTATAAATAGAGTCATATAAGTAATTTTCAAGCCATATGATCACTTGTTCATAGGGTTAACAACTTAACACTGATGATGATTACTTCCTCTTTATTTACAGAAAAATCTAATTTCGGAGAAAGTAGTACATGTATGGGGACATTTGATTCAAACGTATCGCACGCGAGGGATACGACAACAGAATCGCCGGAATTCACAAGAGAGACGCAACCAGAACAAGATAGTTGTAAAGCTTTCATTGCATTTTGCATTTTCATGCATGAGGATTGTCATTTCTAATCTTGAAAGAAATATTTATTTCAGAACTAGTTTTGTCAACACTGACTAATAGTATTTCGTACTCTTAATTGCCAGCAATCATTAAGCGATGCATTATTTATCGATAGGATTTGATTTGTGGTTATGATATCTTTCATAATCCAGATTGACATAAATAACTTTTATTATTTCATGAAAAACAGTATAAATACTCGATCTGGCTGTTAAAATTATCTGCATGTCTAAAATATTTCATGAGAAAAAAGTATAATTCCATTATACTGTATGGAACCCTCGCAGGAGAGAGACCTTTATTATTCGGTAAGTTGAATAATCAATGCAAGGTATGGAAAGTTTATTGAATGACAAGCCCCGCCAGTCTCATTTCAGTAAACTTTCAGTCATGATTCAGTTGACTGACCGACTGGGTACACAATTTTACTTTTTTTTTCAATCCACTCTACACGAATAATTTATTAAAATATGTATATTAAAATGTCTTATTATTCTTGCGGTTGCGGAGATTAATGGTTGCAATGACTTAAGAAAAAATAATAACTCGCTTACGCAGGTTATGTAATTGTCTGCATAATGGCAACCTTAATTCGCGCATTAACAAAGCAAGCTAATTATTTCTTAAATAAGTCTTTATTAAATCCTGGTTAGTATGAAAACTAAGATTAATGTTACACTGTACTATGACAAAGCTGACAAACCTTTAAATTTTTACTGATTACTGATTAGATACAGGGTGTCTCGATTTGTTACAGTACAATGTGTCACAGTGATGAGATTGTTAATTACATTTACGATTAAAAAATTATCGTGTTGATTATGTTGAAATGCTCAGTAGTTTTTTGACAAGTCAAAACACTTTCTACGGTCAACAAGATTGACACGACTGGCCATAAAATGTGGTGCGATTTGATAGAAAATGAACTTTAAATACACGACGTTTTTAATCGTTATGATTGGGGAAATTATCTCATCAATGAAATCTCTTTTTTTCAGCTGACGATTTACGATTGCCAGTAATCATTACATCCTCCGTTGTAGGACTTCTACTGATCGTTATGATATTTGCTTGTTTCATCACAAGGTAATTATAAAGTGAATCATGTGAAAATCATAAAAATATACATGGCAAAAGATATTGGTCCAATGATTTATACAAACTAACATTTAAATACGAAAGTCTCTACTTTCAAAATGAATCATTGTATAGAGTAATTAAAAGAAAAGGAAATCAAGAGAAAAGTTCCACAACAGAGGAAATCGTTACCTCAGATCTTTACTCTGAACCGGTTTCAAAACCAGGTGAAAAAAACAGAAAACAAGGATCACATCACTGCTGAAGACGAATCAGCTTATTCTGTAGCTGATACTAACGACAGTGAGTACTCACAACCCCTTATCAACAGGGACAATCGAACGGGACAGGAGCATTCTGTGAAAGATGTTACCATTTCAGACAGTGAATATGCTGATACAGATTTGGGTGAATATGATGTTTTAAGAGGACAGCGAAAGAAAAATTCCGAAAAAACATCATCGAATTGTGATATTTATGACAGGACAAATAATCTTGTCACCGGTATTTATGACGTCACTTCGAACACGCTGAACGAGAATGAATACTCAATGACAGATAACGACTCAAATCAATAATGCATGATTAATATATTATATTGTAAATAATTTATAATTTTTTTTCAGAATGTTTCGAGGCATGCTCATTTTCTTTAGGCAAACATATTGCCAAAATATAATACCGGTGTAAAAAATATTTATATAAGTTTGATTATTCAATAGGTATTAAATTAAGTACATATATTTGTAATAACCAATCAAGAAGGAGAATACTTGCAATAAAAATATGAAATTTCTGGAGTATTTTCCTTGCCTAAATATTTCCATATTATTCCAACAGTTCAGTTTGATTAAAAAATTATTAAATTAGTATGCATATGAAATTGTTAGATTTATCATTTACATGTAGAAGTAATTTTCTGTCGTTTACCAACTTTTCTTACCCACTGTCGTAATCTTTCTCTGTGAAATGTTCAAAATCTGTTTTATATCAGCATCTCTTCATCTTAATTTCGATCATGCAATGAATTAAAATGTTTCGGTTGACAATGCAGTATTCATCTCTTGGACCCTTGGTGACCCTGACTTTATTAAAAATGTCGCAATATTCTCTCTTGTCAATGCATATTAGGCATGAAATGCGCCATTTTCACCATATCCTGTATATTCCGTACAAGATTATTAAAACTGTCATATAGAGCAAAACCTCTGCTCCAAAATATGCAATTTCATAACAAAAGTCCTGTTTCTGAAGATCATATACATGTTTCAATTTTTGGATCTATGTCTGCGCTCATATTTTATTTCTTGGCTGCAGATATTCCAATGTTTTCTGCAAAATTCAAGATCATTTCATTTACACAAGACTTGTTTTAAAGTACCTACAGTCTAAAAAAGAAATGTTGTTAAAGAACATGAGAGCACTAAGATTCGAAGATTCTTTTTTTTTACTTTGATATATGAAATTGGACAGAGAGTGATAGCCAATTAATTGATGTAAGGACAGGGCCATTTTATGCAAAGAGTAAACCTTGCTCTTGTTTATTAATCATGAACATTTTCTATTTCCAACTTTCTTTTAATAATTATGGAATTCTTAATTACAAAGAGAAGTAAACTGTGTTTTTACGCTTACATTGAAATCTTACGATAATTATTCTATAGTCTCAACTTCTTAAGAATAATTTTATTCACTATTAATTATCTTCACATTTTTATTACGTATATACACAGACGCTAGAGGAAATTCAAGCATTAATTCTGACATCAATTTCTGTACAACATCGTTCGGATTGTAGCCATAGTACGAAATAAATCATCTTTTAAAGCTTATGATTTATTAGTGCGGAATATTTTTCTTATATCCCATTTCTTGAAAAACAATTTTAATCGTCGGACTTCCAATTACGGCAAATAGAGCCGGTGTAACGCCGAAAAGTGACCCACGTAGAATATTGACCTGGGGGTCATTTTTCTACGTAAAAAAAATGACCCCGGGTCAATATTCTACGACAAGTAGGGTCTTTTTTCGACTGTAGAAAAACATTCCAGACCAGTAATTCTACGACTCCACACACGTTGAAAAATGACCCCCAGAGAATTTTAACCCCCTACTTTTTTAATACAATAAAACTTTATATATGTGTATCCTGATATTTTTTCATACTTTAAAATGCAAGTAGGGGGGGGGGTATGTACTTTAATTCTTTCCAACATATATTTGATTGCATATCTTAAAAGTTGCATCACTATCAATGTATCTGGCATGGATTTTTTTGGCTTGCAGAATGTGTTGTTTTTTTTTAATCATTCAAAGGTTTTGTTCCGAAAATGGCATGATATGTTTCTGATAACTATAAACTTTTTTTTACAAATCCAAAAACATAGCATAGAAGCAAGAAAAGCAACGTTATTTAACTATATAAATTCAATTCCCTTAGCTCTTACATTTAAACTTACATATACATCTGTATGGAAGAAGGATATGGATAACGAACAGTATTCAATATCAAAGTCCATGAAACAATACAAAATAGGAGCAGAGCAAACACGGACCTCCAAAACATCAGAGGTGGGATCAGGTGCCATGGAGGAGTGACACCCGCAGTGTGATCCTTGTCATGATCGGGAAATAACGTATCATGCACAAATTCTGTTCATATGAATACAAAAATAGGTCTGCCAATAACGAAGCGCAATTGGTACACATGGAAATTACAATCGATTGTTTGAAGACCTGGTCTCTAAAACCACATAGATTTTTTAATCAGAAACTCAATCATCTTTTTGATGCCAACTTCAGAGTACTTGTGTGTGTAATCAGAATGTGTTTTAATAAAATAATTTTGCAAATGACAAATTATCAGGTAAGAGAATTTACGAGTTCTATTTTTACTGAAAAAGCAGCTGTCAATGATATCAAAAAGTCTGCACTTTAATTTATCGTGGGGAATGGTTGTGGATAAAGTTGAAAATCGTAAGTTTTTAAGCTGTTGATTTTGGTAAAATCTTGTGACTTCAAATTGTCCAAAATTTCTTTGGAATTTTTGAGTATCCACATCTGATTCACACCACTTCTTGAATATATTGTTGCACAGTACTCTTGAAGTTTTTCCTTCATTTCTGTCAATATCTTAGTGAGATGTAACGAAAGAGGCATGGTTGAACATTTACTGGAACCCGCAATGTATCTTTGTTTGTAAGGATTCTTATGAAGTTTCGGAATCCAATATATATAGGGTAGTTCAAATTCATTATGGCTGTGTGGAATATCAAAAATATTCAAAACTGACATATGACTTTGAAGAATTTCTTCCTCAGAAAGGGGAGTATGAGTATAAGTAGGATTACCACTTGTAGAATTAAATCGAAGTTCTTCTAAAATACAATTTGTATAATGAGCCTTACAAACGAAGACTGTATTGTTACCTGCTTTGTCGGTAGGGACCAGTACGTACTGATTATGTAATCTATCTTATTCTTTTTTTCACTTCTGGATTATTGAACAGAGAAGGACAGATGCTTTTCATATTGCCCCTTAATCTTTTAATACGCGATTTAAACACGGATCTGATACATTTTATCCATTCTGACAAAGTGTCAACGTCTTCTTTTTTATATCTGGCCCATTGTCTGGCGTAATTTTCAAAAGAATCCATAATATTTATGATATTCCAACACCAGTTGAAGGAGCGGGGTTATGCATTCTGCCTTAAAATACATACTTTTTAACTACCTCATATAATGTTCTAATTTTTTTCATGTATATACAGGAAATACCATACACACTGAGAACGTTCTTATAATGATATTAAAAATTCCTCCAAAACTGGCAAAAATTTACATCTGAGTGAATAAGAGTTCAACCTTCAAAGATATCTATAAATTAAAAAAAAAATACTTCCCTTTTCAACACTTCCTATCCCACAGACACCTGACCAATGGTTGTTACATCCCCTTTCTTCTGAGATTTTATAGACATTACCTTTCCAAATTAATGAACTCTTTTAGTCTATCACGCCGTTACCTCGATATAAAGTCCTAGCACATACCGTCCAAAAGTTAATGCTAAAGTTAAAGTGTGGAATTTTGGGGTAAAAGTGTCTCAAACTCCAAGATCAATGTCATAGGGTCAAAGTTGGTTGTACACAAAAATAAAGTCTTGTCATAAAAATACAACCGTGAAATATGACAACCATAGTCCAACCAGTCTAAAGATATGGGCAAGATTTATGCGGACAAATATACAAACAGACAGAAGGAGAGGTAAAAAACTATTTACCCCCGAAACTTCGTTTACGGGGGCATAAGTATAACATTAAAGTGACAACTTTTTCATCATCCAACATTTGTTTTGTTTTTTTCTATTTGTAAAAAACTCCTAAAATCATTATATGTAAGTACATGTGGAACGGGGGAAACGATAATACATGTGCCAATTTTTGGAAAGACACTATCTTTTTTTGTAGTTAATCATGTTTTTTGCTACAACGCCCATTTTTTAAGGTTTTGTTGATACTAGCAAACGACAAAAGACATTTTACAGGTTTTGAGCTACCCACATTTTGTTTCCCTTGTATCATATGTCAGAGGCAATCTAATTTCGTGTTTTTACAAATCTTCCCTAAAGGAAGTTTGAAATTTCATTCATAGAAAACCAAATATTTTTATAAGATCTATATATTTTTCTAAGCTAGCACCCCTTTTCGCGCCAGTTTTAAAAGGTAGGGATAAAAAAACGTTAAACTTATGAAAAATAAAACTTTATTTTGATTTTTGCAAATTATTTATCTAAGGTAAAATCAAAGAGATTTTTAACTAATTAATTATGGAAACTTTTTTGACACCAGCTACATGTAAAAAATAACCTTTTATGAAGATTAAAACGAAAACTGTGAAAACTTACTGTATAATGTAATAAACGTTTCTACGATGCATGTGTCTTTGCTTATATTGTTTTCCTTTATTGGGGATAAAACAGTTTGTATTATTAATGTAAGGTATTGTACAGCTTTGATTTCGTTAGCTAAACTTAAAAGCTTTCAGAAATAACACTTCAAAGCATAAGTTAGCTTGATATTACCCGTACACATTCGCCTAACAAGCATATTCCTACAAAAACGAATGTTTTTGCATCAAAAAATGACAAGGGGTCAACTTTTTTCTACAATGCACACTAGAAAATGCAAGGCCATAATTTAATTACAGTAGATTTTTCATTCATTATCCAGGTTTTTTAACAATGAAAATGGACACTTTCTGTGGACGGTCTTTTTTCTTGACGTGGACGTTATAACACTTACAAGTAACACACAGCAGTGAAGATAGAAAAGAAATATTGTATTATGTAAATGTTTTAATAATCTACTTTCAATTATTTTTTGAAATAAAATTCAAACATATTTTTCAGTGTGTATACTAAAAATGAAATTTGATGCGTGACCAGGTAATTGTTTTCGAAACGTGCAAACTCAGATTATCAGGAAGCTCAGGTAGATGACCTGTCAATCAAATCAGAAGCTATCTTTTTTTAATGACTGACAGGCGGTAAATTATTGATCTTGAAACTTTAAAATTGGGTGTTTAAAGTGGATGGGACTATATGGCTTTAATATTTCACAGGTGTAATCCTTTTGACAAGACCTATCTCCGGGTACCACCAAATTTGACCTCGTCAAAATGACCTTGGAGAGTTTAACCTACTTTTACAAAAACAAAAATACCAAACGTTAACCTTGACCATAACTTTTGAACAGGTGTTGCTGGACTTTCATACTTCATATGGGTATCTATTGTCCCAAGACATTTCAACGGGTATGATAATGGTTTGCCTTTCAACCTTGACCTTGAAGTTTGACCCACTATTGAAAAACTTTATTCAATTTTGGCCAAACTATTGAATTGTTAGTACTAGGGCTTTCATATGTCTAGGGTACATTCCTTGTGACAAGGTCTTCTTTTGATCTCTAGACCTTGACCTTGGACATTGACTGGCATTTGAAAAAATCTTCAACCATCGCTAGTAGATGCCATACAGGGGCATCAGTGTTTCACAAACAGATTTTTTGTTCATGTATTTTATTTAATCATTATAGTGTATTATTAATTTTAATGTGTTGTCTGACCCATGCAACAGTGAACTGAAAATGTCAACAAATTCAGATTGAATAGAAGTAGAAGTTAGTGGTTGTATCCGCAAATTTTTTCGCTGTGCCTCGACTCGACAAAAGTATGAAATAAAAGGCATTTCAGCTTCCTTATTGGGGATTATCACTGTATAAAACACTCCAGAAGTAGTGTCAATCTTTAAAGGACTAATCACACAAACCGGCAATTCTTTTTTTCTGTACATATAATAGTAGTTCCTGAAAATTAGGAAGAAAAAGTTCTTTTAATTTTAAGAAGGGCGCGAGCTTATATAATAGTAGGCCTACTTTATTTTCAGATCAATAAGTACTTTGACATCCCGTTGACTAAGGTCCACATTTCCTTTTGTGTCATACCAGGAAATTTATTCTTTGAAACAAAACTTTCAAACAACTAAATGCACTCATTTTAATTACATAGAACCATTCATTATCCAGGTTTTTTAACAATGAAAATGGAACTTTCGTTTCTCTTAACGATTCTTTTGCGGATTTACGAAGTATCTACAGATAACAATTTTTCAGGTAATAAAAATGAAATTTCATAGTAAAGAACTTTATTCGGTAATAACCAATATTTGCCCCCCAAATCAAACTTTGATGGAGATATATTTAATTAAGTTCTTAAACAGGGGAGTATATGCTGACTTCAAAGCACTGAATATTTTCACAAGTAATGACGCCATATGTACATAATGACGTCACAAACATGACGTAAATTTCATTTTTTTTATGAATTTTACAGAAAATTGTACATATTTCGTCGATATTTTGAGTAAAAGTCACCGAGCGCATGTGTGTTCAGGATCAATATTTTAATATAATGTGAAGAATGATAATATCAATGAAATATGTCTACATTGTTCCTGAACAAACTTGCTCTCTATAAATTTTAAAGCTAAAATTGTTGAAATTTTGTCCATTTGTCCTCTTTCTGAAAAAGGATATAAAATCAGACTAGTTTGTGACGTCATAAAAACAAAAATTGTGAATACACTGCTTTGACACTATAATATTTCTGTTAATGTATATTTCTCATACAATTTATTGAATTCAGCACACTTCAGAAAGTTTTCAAAATTTGACTTTTGTGGGGGCAAATATTTGCAAAATACCGCAGATAGTTCTTTATCAAGACATGTATGAAGTATACGTATCAATTCATGTATTCGAACGGTATATAAAATTGTTTACCCCGCGGGGTAAACGGTTGTAACTTAGATGTAGAGTTTGCGAGACTATCTTTAAAATATAATTTTTGTTAATGTCCTCTCCCGACGTAGTCAGGGCAAAAAGTTGGCTCGGTAAGTAGGTGTGGATATAGAGGAAAAATATCATAGTTTCACAAAGATTAAAAACGTTTAATTTGAGTCGGGCCATTTTAGCCAGTCAACCGGGAGAGGACAAGCAAATGTTTTTGAAAGACGGCCCGGGTTATGTCCCTGTCAAAATAAATGGTATTTTCGATAGAACTGCAAACGCATTACCCTTGTTCAAAGTAAAAAATATAAAAGGGATGCTAGCTGATAAATCAAGTGGTTTATTTTGCATTTGTAAATTTAATTCATATCAATCCCGGACATAATTTTGATGACTTTTAATATAATGTTGAAACATGCAGTATTAATTGTTTCCTGCAATTGATAGAGTGAAATATGAATTAACTTTCAGTATTGATTTTCAGTCCAGACTACGTGTACACCACAACACAAATGGCGTAATGAAATCAACATCAGTTGTACTGTATGTGGGTTCAGTGGTCTAGATTTCGTGAATTTCGAAGTAGAATGGCTGTTACAAAAAAAAACTAAGCATTACTAGTCCAGCTAAATTTACACCTGGTAATCTAGAAGGTAACGACACGAAGTACACGTGGGAATTCATTACGTTGAATGACGACGACTGCGAAGGAAACAAAACAGTCTTCAAATTGGTTGACCAGGGTAAGCAAAACTAAACATGTAATCTCTTCATGATAATTCTAAGAAATGTCTGAGATTTATCATTATATAATGAAAGTTATAATTATAACTTTCATTAAATTTTTCAAAAGTCCATTATACATCTTTAAAAAGACAAAGATTTACATATCGTATATTTTTCTTTACAATTTAAAATATACTAAGGCAACTTTATACATGAACTATACGGGTTTTATATATAAACATGATTCTGTGTTAAAACACTGAGATACTGTTTTATGTACAATGCTTTTTTTGCAGAACCTGCTTGGACCACATCACTCGGCATATACACTTGTTATGTAACTCTAAACGGAAGCATAACAAAGCAAAGCAGTGTCGATTTTTCTTGTAAGTAATAAAGTAGCTAAAAAGTGCTGATTATAAAAAAAGTTATTTTTTATCACTTTCAGACAACGATGAAAATTTTTGTATTTTTATTGAGGACGTAAGGTACCTAATCTTTTTTATCCTCCCGCAACGTAGATGGAGGGAATATAGTAACGCATTTTGTGTGTGCATGTAGGGTATTAGTTTGTTCTTGGTGCGAAACGGAAGTGATTTGCATCGGGATCAGTATGTCGGATGCTGCTCTGTTTAAATTTCATATCATTGAGTTATTGCTCATGCAAGCGTCTTTTTTATGGTTAGCTGGAAAAGAAAACACATCATCAAATTATGTTCTGATGAGAGTCAGCAATGTTCCAGTGGCAGATATCGCAAAAAGTTGCAAAAAATATGGATATGACGTATTTATGGATGACTCTGTGGCGAAATCCGTACCATTGCGTGAAACTGAACGTGCGTATTTCCCCGTTTGTCCCAGTATTCAAATAAATAACCAAAGTATTGCTGTTTGCAAACCATGGATTTCTAGACAAGGTAAATAAACGGTCCGTGTAACACTTAACAATTCAAAGTTCTAAAATGATTTTGAGTTTTATGTTAATATGTTAGTTCAAATGTCAAATAAAAAATAAAAAAAAAAAAAAAAAATCAAACTGATTTTGGCACTGAATATTTTGAAAATTAAAATATTTTAGTTAAAAATTCAAATTTCCAAATAGGTTTTTAAATTTTGATATTTCATATTTTTTTACCTAAAATGTTCAAATTTCAAGAAATAACTTAATATATTTTAAACTTTTGAGTTTTGAATCTACCGTTCAGAAAGTTTACGCCTAACAATCCAAAACTTATTTATTTTGTCTTTCGATTATTTAACATTTACCTCAAAATTCTATAAATTTAAAAGCTCGGTTCACTTTATGCATAAAGTTGCCCTGTAGTTATTCAGTTGATTTGATATTTTGGATATTTAAAGTTATTTGAAATTAGAACATTTGAATCAAAATTCCAAATTTCTACAATTATGTTCTCTTTCGCTTCGCTCAGACGAACATAAATTATTTCATATTCTCTTTACATATACAGAAACAACTCAAACACAAATATAGAGGAGGCGACAATGTTAGCCAGATTTAATAAAACTGATTGGTCCAAATATTAACGCGTCTTTAGGTGCGTCCACACATAGAAGCGCTTGCTTGCCGCATTTATTACACGCAAAAATTTACAAACACGTGTCTTCGATGGTACCAAATCTTGACCTTCCTTCTACAATGTATCAAAAAAATAATTGATCAATATCACAGAATAAGAAGGTATTTTAACACGATGTTTATATGTGTCACTTGTTTTGACTTCCATAAATGAATGTATGAACACAATTATGCTTCCCTCGCCGCCCAGGAAAAACCATAGAAAAAAACAACATTATGTTCTCTTTCGCTTCGCTCAGACGAACATAAATTATTTCATATTCTCTTTACATATACGGAAACAACTCAAACACAAATATAGAGGAGGTGACAATGTTAGCCAGATTCGAATAAAAAACGTCTGAGGGAAAATGTAAAGAAAAAAAATTGAATTCAATACCGTTTTTGTACAAATAGAACCTTTTCTGTCCTGCCCTTAACATAACGTCCTCTGCTGTTTCCCTCTTCCACCATCCATTAGCATTCAAGGATCTATCAGGGATGTCTAGATTGGCTGCGGCTGAAGCACCTCCTTGTCTAAGTGAATGTACACCTAACTTTGAAGCGTCCTCTCCAACATCTTTCAATGACTTCAAAATAAGTTCTCTAACACAAAAATAAGGTATGGCTTTGTTACTTTTTGCAGGCTTACAAGAATTACATTTTTTGAACTATCTTAATGACTTGAATATAAAGTCATTAGAATCATTCTGAATATCAACCAATTTAAAATAATAAATAGGACATAGAATGAATCACAAATCACAACTGAGTTTTGCAATGTGAGCAATGTTACCCCTTCTGTATATGTCAGTCTTGAAGCTTCTAATTTGAATTTCCACATGAGTGTCGTAAAAGGTAATATCTGATCTCATAATGTTGCACAGGTCTCTGGCCCTTAAAAATCCCGCATATCCAAGAACAAAGAATAATCTAATATGCAAATCAAAGAATTTGGACAAGATACTTTTTAAGCTAAAGACAAGGAAATAATATTAAATGTGATAGGTTTTTTCTTGTTCAATCATTTTCACAAGTTTGTCAGAACACGGGTTTGGAAACATTTTTTTTTCATGATACCATTGCACTGCATAAAAATGGGGGTTTATCATCGAAAATGTTGATCTACTCCAAAAAAGAAGAGATATGAAGAAAAACACTGTTTCAAGCGTTCTTGGTTGAAAAGATAAATTGAGAAATGAACACCAATGATCGAATTTAGAAAAATGTGTCTTGTATTTACTTAAAGTGAACTTTAATTTTGATGCCCCGATAAAACCTGGTATATTTCCAGCCAGTGTAACAATGTCCCCCTCTTCAAGAGTTCCCCATTGTACCCAGTGTGAATGGTTGAAGAGCTGAAATCATAACAAAACGTTAATATATAAAGTTTTAATTCTATAAAGAACAAGTTGAATTCAAATAGTAAACAGTTGCAAAAACTTTTAATCCTGGCTGTAAGCCTTAACTAACATGCATTTAAACTTCATTTTGGCTCTCAAGCCATTCAATCATATATTAAGCTATCAGCCTACAAAACATGCAATGTATCTAAATCCTGGCTCTCAGCCAATCAATACACATATCAGGCTCTCAGCTAAACATACACATAGGCTCTCAGCCAATCATACACATAGGCACTTAACCAATCAATACACATATCAGGCTCTCAGCCAATCAATACACATATCAGGCTCTCAGCCAATCATTACACATATCAGGCTCTCAGTCAATCATTACACATATCAGGCTCTCAGCCAATCATTACACAAATTAGGCACTCACCTTACGATGCAGAATATCAGTCCTGACTCCCAGTCAAAATTACGGATAAATGTCTCAACTTCAGAACACAAAACACAAATACAAATGAATAAGTCTAAATATCAAAATTAACATGAAGTACTATAGCATTGGAGAAAAATTTCAATCCAGCAAAAACACCTTTTTATAAGATCCTGCAGTGAAAAAAAATCTTGGTTTGTCATATTCAATATAGCAAATAACAAATCTTTAAATTTTCCATCTGCATTAACCAGCATAGGTCAAAAAAGCGAAGATATCCATTTAGCACAAGTGTACCATGCACTTTACACAGACCTAAATGATAAATAACGTATGGTATACAGTGTAAGCAAAATTAAAAAATGTTATTTACAAGACTTCCTTTAACCGTTTGTACATTTACATGCTCTTTTCCACAAAACAAAATATCTTTTACCATTTTAGGTACATTGATTATCGTGGAGGGTCCGTATACTCACTGGCCACATCCCAGCCGTACTTATCTGCAATTCTTATAACTCTTTTTTAACTCTTTTTTAGGTATAGTCTAGTTTTCATTTATATATATTAAGTGAATAACAGCTTTTTGAAAATAAAGTTCTCGCGATATTTTGTTAACAGCTTTTTGAATATTTTGTTAGCATTCAAACATCACTTAGTCAATATATTTATCAATACTTTAAAAGTCATTTTGTAAATCTGTTAAAAACTTGTACCTTTCTTTGTGATGTTTCGACTTGAATCAACAGAACTTCTCTGAAAACGTAAGTTGAAATTTTGGCTTCTAATTCCTTTAAGGTCAGACGAGACGTTCCTCAAAATCTGTTTTGTATATCTTCGTAATGTATGAAAAATATTCAAAATTTTAATAACATTCTGATTTCTAAACCAGCATCTAAACTTTTTTAAAAAATCCAAACACTTAAATATTTGAAATTAGAAAATAATTTTTCTTCCCTAGAGGATTATATAAGAAAAACTACCCCTGGTATTTTGCAGAAATGCCTGGTAAGGTACCACAATTTTTTGTGAGTAAACATGTTTAAGTAACAATACTTCAATGACAAACTCCTAGAAAAAATTATCTATGATTACGGAACGTCTCGTCTGTCCTTAAAAGCACCTTTTTTGTTCTCGGCTAACGCTGCATATAACTTGCAGGAGCGTAGACAGGTCCTCATTCAAAATTTGCGAACAGTTGCGGCTAAACCCATTGTTGTTGGACGCGCCTCTATTTTGGTCGTGAGTACATAACACTTATTCTCGGACTACCACGTGGAGATTGCTCGCTACCGTCTGAATCAGACATCTTTAAATCTAACTGATTTGTCGAATGACAAAAGAACATAAAACATGAGTTTAGATACCCATAGACCGAATCACTGCATGCCGCAAAATAGACCCCAAAAGAGAAACAAATTAGTAAAGCACATAAGCGAGATACTAGTAAATAGATATTACCAACGTAATACGTACTAACTGGATAACCGAATCAACACACACGCCTCCCCGCACACCAGAGCAACCAGGTTCGACCCCCCAGGAACACCAATTTCCCCCCAAACATTATTAATGTAACCGAAAAGAAATTTATATCTAATAGGTTTCAAAGTTGAAATTTAGAAGTTTGAAGTTAATTTTAAATAATAAAAAGACAAAAAATATCACCGAACTATAGATTGTTAAGTGTAAACTTTCTGAACAAACAGTAGATTAAAAACTTGAAAGTTTATAGTACAAAAATCGGTTTGGGAAATTTGAAATTGAAACATTTAAGGTAAAAATCTAAAATATTAAAAATTTTAATCCTATTTAGAAAGAAAATTTAGATTTTTGAGCTAAAATATTGAATTTAAAAATGCCAAATCAGTTTGAGTGTTTGAAAGTTAGAAATTTGAACGAATATTTTAACATTTGAAATCATTTTAGAAATTTGAATTAGTGTTACACGGACCGATTCTGATTTTTCAAACACTCAAATTTCAAATATTCAACATTTTTTTTTTTTTACATTTCGGGTTTTTCATCTTTTACTTCAAAGAACTATATGCGGTATATTGCATATATTTGCCCCCACAGAAGTCAAATTTTGAAAACTTCCGGAAATGTGCTGAATTCAATAAATTGTATGAGAAATATAAATTAACAGAAAATATCATGGTGTCAAAGCAGTGTATTCACAATTTTTGTTTTTATGACGTCACAAACTAGTCCAATTTTATATCCTTTTTCAGAAAGAGGACAAATGGGCAAAATTTCAACAATTTTAGCTTTAAAATTTATAGAGAGCAAGTTTGTTCAGGAACAATATTGACACATTTCATTGATATTATCATTCTACACATTATATCAAAATATTGATCCTGAACACACATGCGCTCGATGACTTTTACTCAAAATATCGACGAAATATGTACATTTTTCTGTAAAATTCCTAAAAAACTGAAATTTACGTCATGTTTGTGACGTCATTACGTACACATGGCGTCATTACTTATGAAAATATTCAGTGCTTTGAAGTCAGCATATACTCCCCTGTTTAAGAACTTGATTAAATATATCTCCATCAAAGTTTGATTTAGGGAGCAAATATTGGTTATTACCGAATAAAGTTCTTTCCAAAATAGCAAAAGAGCTTTTAGATAGTTAGAATGTTGAACTGATACTCAAATTCAAATCAGGTTTGGAAAGATTTTGGATATTTAAAGTAAAATTATAAAAACTCAAAGTGTTTAAGTTATTTGAAATTAGAACGTTACGTTTGAATTACAATTTGATTTTAAATGTTTGAAGCTAATTTTAAATAATCAAAAGTCGAAAAATATTACTGAACAATAGATTGTTAAGTGTAACTTTCTGAACAAACGGTAGATTAAAAACTCAAACGTTTAAATAACAAAAATCGTTTTTGGAAATTTGAATTTTAAACATTTAGGGTAAAAATTTGAATTATCTAAATGAAATTTCAAAACCTGTTTCGAAATTTAATAATTTAGATTTTTCACTAAAATATTAAGTTTCAATATACCAAATCAGTTTGAGTTTTTGAAATTTAGAAATTTTAACTGATATATCAACATTCTAAAACTAAAAATCATTTTAAAAATTTGATTTGAAAGTGATACACGGACTTAAACATTTTTTTTTTCATTTTATAATTAAAAGTACTCATTGAAAACTAAGCTTGAAATTTCTTGCTATTACATGAGTTTTTCGTTCATTTTTCGTTTTTCGAATATATTTTGTTTAATATTTAATTTTAAGGTAGTTCTTTGAATCAATATTATATATTTTTTAAAAAAGGATGCTTCAGTCTCACAACAGATAATATTGGTATGGCGGTGGATTGTAGAAGCATCAAAATAGCAACTTGGAATAAATCCCTTCCACTAATAGGAATGACGGTATGGACTAATCATCCCCTCGCAACGGGGTTGGAGGGGATTTAGAGACGCAGTCGAGAGTGTATGTTTGTTTGTTTGTGGATGAGTGAATTAATAGTAAATGAACCAAAGGGCATGCTTGGCATTGCTGCGACCTTGTTTATGTATCATAAGTTTCCATTAAAAAATATCATTAAAATGGCCGTGAGGATAAAAGCAAACTGAATCTGCTTCTTTAAACAAAGGCAATTAATAAATAAGTTTACATTTTATAGAAATATAAATGGACTAAAGATACATTTCCGTAGTAATTTTACATACAATATATAGAGAATGATTAGTAAAAAGCAATATTTTACTTGGAAACATCAGCAAAAAAACAAATTGTACAATTATAGCATTTGCATTGTCATGGAGAATTACCTACTTGAGGGAAAATGGTATCCCTAATTCACAGTTTTCAAGTGTTTGCAAGCTACTGACTAGTGCAGTGAAACTTGTCTAGTCCGGACGTTATCTAATCCATTATCCTGTCTGATAAGATGTAAATTAACTCCCTTTTAGTACATTTTTATACGGCAAATTTTCATTGGAAACAGTGGTGTTCGGATTAGACAAGTTTTTCTGTATATGTATGCATCTTTTAGCATTTCCAATAAGCCTCTAAGTGCAATTTATGTTTGTCCTTTAGGAGAAAGTACAAGAATCTGTTAAGATGAACGAACTGAAAAATGCCAAAATATGAAAAAGCAAATTTTAAATAAAATAATATTTAAAATAACGTTTGTTTTCCGCTCCCAAATCACGGTTAGAATGTTGATCGGTAGGTACGGGTACATGTATGTTAAATCATATTTTTTTTCTAAAAAAAAAAAAAAAGAAGAAGACTGAGAAAAATTGTTCTCTGAAATATAAATACACGTAACATGCTCTTGAGTATAAATATATGTACTCATGCTTGTGTTCAATACAAAGACAGATTGTGTAATTCTGATACATGTATTATGATAAAGGCAGGCATAGAAGGTTAAGACATTCAATAGTTTTGCTGAAATAAATATTCGTTTATTATTCCAAATTTTCAGAGTAACTAACTTTTTTATACATGGACTGTTGGCTCTTGCTACTTACTGGATGGCGATGTAAGGAAATCTCATCCCAAGGTTCCAGATACCTATTGTTCAACAGACAAAGATTTCAACAATTTTCAAGAGGACAATAGAGGAGTGTTCCTTACCCTCTTTTCCATCATTAACAGTATGTTCTTTTTATCATGAATACCACAATTAGGGAAAAAAGGAAGAGAACATAAACAGATAAACGAATTCGAAAGTTTCAACATCTTTGATTTTTTCCTTTGTCAATACAGTCATAGGCTCGTGATTTTGGCTTTCCACACTATAAACATGGAAAGCGTCATTTTATTTATTTTCATCTATCTTATATTAGTAATTTTTTTTTACATTGGTTTGATCCATAGGCGCTTGGATCAAGGATACTGTATTTTTTTCTATATAATGTATTGTCGATGAAATTGGAACTATACTCGTAATATTTTTTTTTCAGTGCACAGTGTTAATTTTTAGTTTTTTGTAAACCTATCTGCTTCATATACACCAGAATGTCACAGAAATTTGATTTTATGCACGCTTAAAAATGGCATATCCCACTGTATACTAAATAGAAACGTTTCTTTTTAGTATTTGTTTTGAACATATTTTATTGTATAAACAAAAGGATTGGAAACGAGTTCTTTCAACTTACGAGTTCCTCTCCTTTCCTCTTCTTTTTAGTATACAGTGGGATATGTCATTTTTAGTATACAGTGGGATATGTCATCAAGTACCCTTGACCCAAGCGACTATGTAAAAAAAATTATGCAATTTTTGAATTATCTGTATGAATAAACTTCAAACCAAATTCTTTTACACTTTATAATTTAGGGTCCAAGAAACATAATTTCAAAAATTAAAAAACAAATCAAGTATGGCGTACTAGTATTTATATCTTCAATTAATTCTATTTTCAAATTTCATTATATACAAAGTTCAGTATTAAAATAAATATACAACAGAAAACAAATCTAAAAACACAATAAATTAAAATTTAACTGTTGTAAATCGTTTTAAAAATCTGGATTTCATGCAATTTAGTAAATCCAGAAAATACAGCAGATATAAATTCGGACTGCGTGGCTACCTACATGGACTTGGAAACTCTAAAACTCTTTGAAATGCCTTGCCATAGATTCTGTGATGCATATTGTACTTCACACGGTAAGTATGGACTTCTTATACTAGTAGTGAACAATTTCTTTGTCTTCTTTCTTGAATATTCACAGAGTTATTTACATTGGTTTCGTTTTCTTGCAATTTATTTCAGTTACACAGTATTTAACCGCATTAGAGTTTTTACTTATTTTCAGACGGTTCTAGCATTATTAATCTTAATCGGCATATGAAATGGGAGGATGCCAGGAAAGAGTGTCTCATGTTAAATAAATCTCTACCCAACGAAAACTTTACGTTCTCTGACCCAACCCAATTCGATATTACAAGCACAGTGTGTCTTGATGTGTTTAAAAACTCATCTGTATTATTTCAACCTGTCGTTAAGCTTGCATCAAAAGAACATGGAAGGATAATAATCAACGCTTCTACTAACCATTCGATGAGGCTGCAATATTTATGTGGGACAAAAATAGGTTGAGTATGATATTCTATGATTAAAATTGTTAGAAGGCTTTGTTTCATTCATTGCTGTGTCTCCTATACTGATGCATATGCAAGATATGCCAAAAAGAAAACAACGATTTAAAGATAGAATCATTCAATCTTTTACATATATACATGTATAGCCAGGATAACATGTTGATTGCATAGTAAGCTGTTTGGGGTAGGGGGTTGTGTGTTAATTTTACCGATATATTATTGTAATACCTTATAGTAGAATCTATTCAAATTTACATTTATGCATTTCAATAATTTTGTTTGTGTGTACATAAAAAATAAAGTTGATAAATGGTTACCCTCCACTTCAAACAATGTCTGATGAACCCTGTGCTTTTGTAAAATTTAATGAAACTTTTTTATGAGATAGTGTGTGAGTTTAATGGTGAAAATGATAACGTTGTATTTCATTTAGTACTTATTTTGTATTATATCGTATTAAATAAATAAATAATAAAAAATATTAAAAGTAAAAATTTAAAAACAAGGGAAAAAAAACGAAAAAAAAGAACCCAGAGAGGAGAGGATTTTTTTCAACCTTACTTATACTATAGGAAATGTTAATAGAAAGACTGGTTGCCACTCCCCCCCCCCCCACACACACACACTTTTAGCGATTCAAAATGTAGTAAGGTTTCTAAATATCTCTCTTTTCAACTTTGAAACTTTTTCAAGTAAGTAAAAAAAAATTTCTCTGACTTTCAAAAACGATGCAGCGCCAAGAGAAAGGTTTCTAAATATCTCTTTTAGAAACAAGTACGACAGACAGACAGAGGGACAGACAGTTTCACCAGAAGGGTACTAATAAATCACTAAACGATGATACCGAGTGATCATTTGGGATTTTTTTCGTTACATCTTCATTTCTATTCGTTTTTTGACAGTACTCTATAATAAATGAACCTATGAAGCATAAAATTTTCAACGAATAGACTTGTTTGTCATTGATTTCCTTACTGTGAATTTCGATAAGTCTCAATTTACGATAGATATATAGGCCTACATGTCGGTCTACAGAGATCGTAAAAATGTGATAATTTGTTTGCATGGTATTACTTTTCTTTTTATTTATAGACACAGAAGAATCAAATTACGGACACTGTAATACAACAACAGAGGGTTTTCACGAATTCCATACTAGAGATACTACAGTGACTTGGAAATTTCCAACAGAGATGAACCGGATAAAAGTTATTTGTAAAGTTTTTTTGTTAAATTTTGGTAGCATATTTTAATTTAAATGTAAGAAGAAAAACATTTCTATTAATAAGTGTGAAAATACCAGACATTAACAGGCTAGTATGATGAGTCAAAATGGGCATTTTTGCAAGTTTTCAGTCGTTAAATTTTGAGGCAGATAGACAAAGGAATTCAGTTTTATAGTATTTCTTTTCGCACAACGTAAGATTCTGAGCTATCCAATGTTCTTTCTTATCATTTTCCTTCCTTGACCGTCCTTGAAAATAAACAACATATGTACGTGCAAGACAACACGTAAGTAGAATTTTTTAACTGAAAGGTAGGTATAAAGCAGTATATTTCAGAAACCGCCGTTCAATCAAATGCTTAGTAAAAAACGATCTAAAAACTGCAATTCTCCATATTGTTTATTCAATTAGCCAAATTCCAATCGAGTAATATATTGGATCTATATAATACACTGTAGCGGTAGTATATAGTTCGAGACTATTTATGTAAAGTTTCTTTTTGAAATAATGTAAGCGGTAATAAATTCAAAATTTTGTTATTACATATAACGTAATTCGTACATTCTCTTTTCTTTAACATTCTTTAAAAATGCGAAAAGAAGCAGTTACCCAGAAATCTATGTTACAATTTCCTGAAAGGACTTAAATCATGAAATCTAATTAACAAATAACCTTTTTTTTATTTTTAAGCCGACGATTTACTGACCAGTCATAACATCCTCCGTTGTTGAGTTTTATCGTTAAATTTTTTGTAAAAAATCAAAGGTTAAATGAATAATGTAAAAAAACATTATTTTATATGTTGAAATATATTAGACAAACATTCAGTAATTTATATGTACATGTACACAAAGTCTTAAAAAACAATAGTACCCTTGACAAGTTTTCGTGGCATTACGGTTAATTTTAAAGTTTAAGACTGAATAATTGATATAAATTTTATCACATATACAAACAATAATTCTCCTTATTTTCAAATGATTTTAACTCACATATTATTTGTTATTTGTCCAGAAGGTCATAATTCTGTTACATAGTTTCTTATTGATTTTTTTGCTGACGTCATATGTTATAAAACAAGTTATATACCATCTAGAGAAAATATTATAAAATTTACAGTGTAAAAAATTTCTGTTAATTGACAAAATGATTACATTATTCGACTGGAAATTTATTTGTTGTTTTTCACCACACCTATCTAGACGTGCCTAAGCTGTATATACTAAATATGTAAAAATTTTCGAACTTATGCTGCAAGACAAGAAGTAATTTTTTAACTGAACTTTATTTAAATGTTTCATACTTGAAAATATAAATTTCATGTATATTCAAAGCAATTAAATGTTTAATTCAATTGATTATCAATTCACAATACTTTTTTATCATATAAGCTTTTTTATTCCAATCGAAATATATTTGAAAATTATAAACAAAAATACGTATATAGATCAGTAGAAAAAATATCAAAAGTTTCCAAATTATTGTCACAAATACCGGTAGCTAGTAATAGTTAAAATTCATGATTATCGCCGGCTATTAGTTTTTAAGTTTGGTATTTTTAAAACACGACGAAATGAAGAGTATATTAAGCAAATTGTCAAATTTCCTGAAAACTATCATCATGAAATCTAATTAACGCTATAATTTTTTATTTTTAAAGGCAAAAAGGTTTAACATTTGGTCATCAAACATGCTCCGTTGTTGGAGTTTTGATGATAGCAAATATGCTTGTTTCATCACAAGGTAAAGTGAATCATGTAAAAACATTAGAATATATGGGAAATATATATTCGACAAATGTTTACTGACTTACACATACTTACTTTTAAATACGATAGTATTTACTTTCAGAGTATTAAAAAGAAAAGGAAATCAAGAAAAAAGTTCCACAACAGAGGAAATCGTTACCTCAGATCTTTACTCTGAACCGGTTTCTGCATCAGGTGAGAAAAACATGAAAACAAAGGATCACATCACTGCTGAAGACGAGTCAGCCTATTCTGTAGCTGATTCGAATGACAACGAGTACTCACAACCCCTCGTCAACAGGGACAATCGAACGGGACAGGTGCGTTCTGCAAATGATGTTACCATCTCAGACAGTGAATATGCTGATACAGATTTGGGTGAATATGATGTTTTAAGAGGACAGCGAAAGAAACACTCCGAAAATACATCATCGAATTGTGATATTTATGACAGGACAAATAATGTTGTCACTGGTATCTATGACGTCACAACGAACACACTGAACGAGAACGAATACTCAATGACAGATAATGATTTAAATCAATAATACATGGTTATATAAATAAAATGCCAAAATATAATATGTAAAATATTTATAACTTTTCATTAGGTATTAAATATACCCCCCGGTAGTGCATTTACTTTAGCATTTGTGATTACTAATTAAGATGGAGAGTTCCTTACTTAAAATGAAATTTGAAATTTTTGGAGCACTTTCCTTTATAAATGTATATATTTTTTAATATTATACAATCAGTACAGTTTGATTAAAAATCATTAATTATAGTAAGAAATTTTAGAGTTATCATTTTAAAGTTTTATTTTTTTGTCATTTTTACCATTTTTTTAAACCAATAGTTTTGTTACCCCCTGTTGTACTCTTCCTCTATGAAATCTGTTTTACATCATTATGTCTTCATTAAATTTCGATCATGCCGTTTTGGTTTACAATGCAGTGAATGCAACATTCATCTTTTGGACTCTTAATGACCGTGAATCTATTGATCATGATCACCTCTTTCTCAGTGCAATATGATGTCGTTGATTGTGTCATATATTTTTTTTACCATATCCTGTATATTCCTTTCAAAATGACCAAGCGTTCTTTTTTCAATATTTCACTTAGAGCACAACCTCTGATCCAAAATATATGCAATAACATAACAAAAGTCCTGTCTCTAAAGATCTTAAAACATGTCTAAATTTTTTAATCGAGCTCTGTGCTCATGTTTTAATTCTTTGTTGCATGTGATTGAATGTTTTCTATAAAATTCAAGAACATTTCATTTTCACAAAACCTGTTTTCAAATGCCTCGATTCTCAAAAAGAAATTTCTGTTAAAGAAAATGAGAGCCCTAGATCTCAGCTTTAGTTTGATAAATGAAATGGGACAGATGGTGATAGTCAATTAATTGATAGAAAGACAGGGGCATTTTTTGCATAGAGTGAACATTGCTCTTGCGTTTAATGATAAACATTTTCTACCTCCAGTTAAAGCTTTTAATTTCTTTTAATAATCCATATCTCAATTACATAGTAAACTGTCTTCTGTTCATAATCATACAATAAATTTTATATTCATATAGAGCTTTTTTTTCAATTGTTTAATCTAATTCTCAAAATATGCAATTACATAACAAAAGTCATGTTTCTGAAGATCATATACATGTTTCAATTTTTAGATCTGTGTCTAAGCTCATATTTCAAATCTTAGCTGCAGGTATTCCAATGTTTTCTGCAGAATTCAAGAACATTTCATTTTCACAAGGCCTGTTTTACAACACCTGCATTCTGAAAAAGAAATTTTATTTAAGAAAATGAGAGCACTAAGATTCGAAGATTCTTCTTTAGTTTGATATATGAAAGAGGACAGAGAGTGATAGTCAAATAATTGATATAAGGACATTACCATTTTATGCAAATAGTGAACCTTGCTCTTGTTTATTAATCATTAACATTTTCTATTTCCAGCTTTCCTATAATAAGTATATGGAACTCTCAATTACAAAGAGAAGTATACTATTTTGACGCTTTTCTTGAAATCTTACGATAAATATTCTGTATCAGTAATTTTGAATATTTCCCTTAAAACCGCTTGACCAGGATAAATCAAAGTGATAAAATGTCAAAATTTTTTGTTTTGACTTCTATTCTGCTCAAGTTTCCAAGAAATATATTTTTATCCAAGCATTCGTTTACAATAAACGAATTGTACTAAAGAGTTTTTGTAAAGGAAAACATTAATACAACAATGTGGGATATCTACAAAAGAAATAATTTCTTCAAAATCAGTAATAGAATTCTATATTCAATGCCTTGAAGAAAAATATTAAATCAAGTTTAACAAGTTCCACTCAAAATATAAATTAATGTCGTTCAGGAACTGCTTTACAGGAAGCAAACTTCTTAAAACACAAGAAAAACTAGAGTTGGTGTTGTTAAACATTAAACATAACCCAATACAGATAAAAGATAGATACGAAAAGGAAGTATCACTCAAGTAAAAATGAAAATATAAGGAATCACTGTCTAGTTAGGAGACTAATGCCAGGGACATAGACGATAGTGGGAAACATAGGATAATTTTAACACAAATGCAAATCATCCAATATTTCCCACTATCGTTGATGCCCTGGGATATTCTCCTAACTAGATAGTGATTCCTGAACTTAAACCAATCTCTATGATAAACGTGATGACTTTTTTTTTATCGTCAACATCGTTTACTTATGCAGCAATATACATGTACCTTCATCGCATGAATACGGAGTTTATATATCTCAGTTGATTCGATACGCAAGAGCAATGCTCTTTGTATGAAAAAATTTCGAAAAGGAGGTTAATTATTGACAAACAAGTTGATGGATCTAGAATATCAACAGTCTCGTTTAAGGTCATTATTTCGTAAGTTCGATGGTCGATACAATGACCTTGTCAGCAAATACAATTTATTGAGTCAAATGCTGACTGAAGGTTTTCATACTTATTGTAAGTCCATTATTTATACACTGAATTAATAACGTATTTCCCTGTTATTTTCTGATCATGACAAGGAACACACGGTGGTTGTGACCGGTCAGCAGGGAATGCTCACTCCTCCATGGCACCTGATCCCACCTCTGATGTTTTCGAGGTCCGTGTTTGCTCTGCTCCTATTTTGTATTTTTAAAGGACTTTTGATCTTGAATACTGTTTGTTATCTCCCTATGTTTCATTTCACGAATAGTACAAGGAAGATACTAGTCGTGGGTGAGTATAAGACTATCAATTTCCTAAAGAGCAATTCTTCCTCCTAGTATTTTCACAGTTTCGACAACTTTGTTTCCTATTCCTATTTGTTTCCTATTCTATTTAGTGTGCATATATCTTTAGCGCAGACAACAAAACACTTAGAGATATAAATGTTTTTGTCTTGGTTTTCCTACAGAGTACAATACATGTTTTTGAAGAATCAAGATGGAGAGCCTTGTGATCAGTCTCATTTTCCTTTGTGTCAGGGACAGAACCCTCTTTTGCAAAGGTAAAAATGTTTTTCTTTGCATTCTAAAAACTTATTGTGGTTGAAAAGCTAAACAAAAAATAATATTCTTATTTTTAGGAGCAGAACTTATCAATTTGCCTCCTGTTATAACATTAGAGTTTGAACCGGAGTATTTTGTACCGATCTTTCATTCTACTCCCTTATCCTTGTTTTGCCAAGCTAATAACTCCGTACTCAAGTGAGTAGTACTGTATCCTACCTTTGTAATGGTCAGATGGCATCAAGATAATGTAAAGACTATGACCTTTATAATACTAGTATCTAAATTTATACATGAATCTAAATTTTTTTGTCTAATTCATTACATTAGGTATCAGTGGTATAAAAAAAAAGATGTGGAAAATGACCGAGTTTCCTTTAACTGGAGAAATCACCTTCGAAAATCTAGAAAAAGAGGACTTCGGCAGAAAATAAGTTTGGAATTTCAGTCTCACTATTTGTCAAATTATCGGAAGCAGGTAAAGCAATTATAATTATATTTCAGAAAACATCATAAGATATAACATTGCAATGCCTTCAAATTTAGCTCAAAAATCAGCTGTTTAAAGTGACCACCCCTATGAAAGTTTTTTAGACTCGTCCATTTACAGGTGAATGACACACCTGAGTGACCACTAAACAATGCTTTCAATTTTAGCTCTACGAGTGAGAGGACGTAAGTTTATCGATCCACGTTTCGCATGTTTTTATAGGCATTGCAGACGTTTAGAATGGCGCAAAGTCAGCTTTTCTCCCCAGATGCCTTAGGGAGAAGAACACCGTCTTCTGATAGACTGCAGGTTTGTGTTTCGGAAAACGAGCAAATTTCCGACGATGCAGAAAGTGATTATGAGCAAACGCCAATTCAGGGCAATAAAGACAAAAACACGCCAATAAGGGGCACAAAAGATACGCCAATACGGGGCACAAAAAATACGCCAATACGGGGCACTAATAATGCTGGTATGCCGATTCAGGGCACTAATGAAGAACCTCACTCTGATGAGGGTTCGGGAAGAGAATGGAGAAGCGAACGAGTTAATGCATCCAAAAGTGAAAGTAGAAAGAGAAAGCGTGAGAAGGAGAGCGATAGCGATTCAGAAGAATCAAGTTCAGATGACAGCAGTAGTTCAAATGATTCCGAGTCAGATTCAGATTCAGATATGTTCAGTCCTTCACAGGTTTTGAAGATGAAGGGAGGTGAGAAATTACCAAAGAAAATAACGAAATACATTGAGAAGTATGCTAACAATGGCATTACCAAAGCTACTCGACAAGAAATAACAAAGAACTGTAAAACACCAAACACAAAAAGATTAAAATCAAAAGAAACTGACAGATTCATTAAAAAACTTTTTAGGAAAAGATTCAATCAGGCCATGTCCAACAAAAAAGAGAAAATTATAATAAATACACAAAATCGCATTCTTGATGCTACTGGTCCATTAGCCATACTTTGGCATGAAGCTGAAAAGGTCAGAAAAGCTAATAAAGGCATAGACCCCAATGATGTTATAAATATTGTACAGAGAGCATTAGTGTTGATTGGAAATGCTCATTATGTGTATCTCACAGACAGACGCAAGACTTTATTAGGCAAACTTGTACCAGAGTGTGTTGACCTAATTGAGGACAGTTCTGGAAAGAAAGCATTACGGAAATCAAAAGATAAACTGTTTGGAAACACATTTAGGAAGCTGTTAGCTAGAGACAGTAAAGATAATAGAGAGATTTCAGATCTTCTTCCACAAAGAAAACGATTCAAGTCTGACAATAAGAACTCTTATTTCTATGATAACAATAACGAGAGAAGGAACTCTTTCAGAAATGGTGCAGGTCGACCCCAGCAGTTTTTTCGGACAGGGCCCTCAAACAACAGATACCAGTTTGGGGGCCACAATTACAGAGGACAACAGAGCCAGAGAGGCAGAGGTTCAGCAAAGTTTCCTCTTTCCAGAAAGACAGAAAATCAGTAGAAATGAAGGTAAGGCCAATCACTTCAGAATTAAAATTTCCTGTTTTGACAGAAAATCTCAAGAATATCCCTGTGGGGGGGAGGTTGAAATATTTCCATCAAAACTGGGAAAATCTGTCAAAAGATTGCTGGGTTCTAGAAACAGTGCTAGGCTTAAAACTAGAATTCTTTCAAAATCCCCCCGTTCAAGTGAATCTTCCTCATTTCAAGGGATTTTCCAAGGAAAAGAATGCATTGGTAAACCAAGAAATTCTCAACATGTTAGAAAAGAGAGCAATTTTACAAGTGGAAGACACATTGGACGGGTTCATAAGCCCCATATTTCTTGTAGAGAAAAAGGGAGGGGGGCAAAGACCTGTAATAAACCTGAAAGAATTAAATGGTTACATGATATACAGACATTTCAAAATGGAGGGAATCAATCTAGTACGAGATATGATTCAAAAAGGGGACTGGCTAATAAAAATAGACCTGAAAGATGCTTATTTCACAATTCCCATTGTAAAAGAAGATCAAAAATATCTCAGATTTATTTGGGAAGGGAAAGTGTATCAATTCCTTTGTCTTCCATTTGGGATAACAGTAGCCCCTTGGGTTTTCACCAAATTAATGAAAGTTCCCATGAGTTACCTTCGAAGGTTAGGGTTGAGATTAGTGATTTTCCTGGACGATATTCTGATCATGAATCAGACCAAGGAGGGGGCATTGATAGATGGCGAGAGAGCAGTCAATTTGCTAGAAAGTTTAGGGTTTCTGATAAATTTCAAGAAATCAAATTTAGTCCCTTCCCAAGTTCTAGAATATCTCGGATTCAAGATAGACTCCAGTATAATGACACTCTCCTTACCATTAGAGAAGACAAAGAAGATAAGAACAATTTGTCAAGAGGTTTTCAGTTCAAATCCTGTTTCAGTAAGGAAATTGTCAGAAGTGATAGGAAATCTCACAGCAAGCATTCAAGCAGTATACCCAGCCCCATTACATTATCGCCATCTACAAATGGCAAAGAACCAAATTTTCAGTCAATATCAAGATTACAATGCTCAAGTCTTCTTAACTCTAGAAGCCCAGAGAGATCTACTCTGGTGGATTCACCATTTAAACGACACAAATGGGAAGAGTATTGTAATGAATCAGCCATCAGTAGTTATACAGACAGATGCAAGCAATCTAGGTTGGGGGGCAACTTGCAAAAATGTCAGAATAGGGGGTGCATGGTTACAAAGCGAGATTCATTATCACATAAATGTTCTAGAGATTTTAGCAATAACGCATGCAGTAAAGGCATTTCTGAAACAAGAAACAAACATGGTTGTTCTTATTCAAACAGACAACAAAACAGCGATGACTTACATCAACAAAATGGGTGGAACAGTATCCAAGGTGTGCAATCAGTTAGCATTAGATCTCTGGGGATGGTGTCTGAAAAAGAGTATCTCAATGAGAGCAGAATTCATTCCGGGAAAGGAAAATGTCATAGCAGACTGGGAGTCCAGACATCACAAGGACTCAAGCAGTTGGGGGTTAGATCCATACATATTTCAAATTCTAATGAACAAAACAATAGATTGCAAAGTAGATCTGTTTGCAGACAGAACCAATGCCAAACTAGACAAGTTCATCAGTTGGATGCCAGATCCAGAAGCAATGGCACACAATGCACTGTTGCATCCCTGGGTGGGAATAAGGGGGTATGCTTTTCCCCCGTTTTGTCTCATTTCTCAATGTCTGAGCAAGATTCAGAGGGAAAAAGCAACGATTCTCCTAGTAACCCCAGCATGGTCAGCCCAACCATGGTATGCAACGATTCTGAAGATGTGCATTCAGGATCCCATTCTCCTCCCAATAATTCCCAATCTCCTAATGTCAGACAAGGGAGAACCTCACCCACTAGTGAGAAACAACTCACTCCAGTTAGTCGGATGGGTTGTCTCAGGAGATCCATGCAAACAATGCACTTATCGCAAGAGACTGAAGATCTCATCTGTAACTCATGGGGAAAGGGCACAACATCTTCTTACAATTCAGCCTGGAAAAAGTGGGTTAGCTGGTGTGTCAGAAGGGAGGTTGATCCATTTTCAGCCCCTATAAGCTTTGTATTAGATTTTTTAAGCTATTTGTATTATGAGGGGTTTCAATATAGAACAATTAATGTTCACAGATCTGCTCTTTCCTCTGTGATGCCTCATGTCAATAATTTGCCCATTGGTCAGCATTCCATGGTAAAACTTCTAATGAGAGGTATTTTAAGAGGAAATCCCCCCTTACCAAGATATAAAGAGACATGGGATGTAGATAAGGTTTTAAATTATTTTATTTCTCTCCCAAGTAATGAAGAACTCTCTCTAAAACTCTTGTCAAAAAAGTTGGCTATGCTTTTAGCTATTGCTGCCCCCAAAAGAGTTTCAGAAATAGCAAGATTAGATAAGGGGTTCATGCAAGTTATACCATCAAAATTTCTTTTGCCAGGGTTGTCAAAGACGCAAAGAGATTGCCGTTCAAAAGAAGTGTTTTATGCACGTTTTCCAGATCACAAAAATCTGTGTGTAGTTGAATGTTTACTTGAGTATTTACACAGAACAAAGACATTTAGGACTCATAATGAGCATTCAGGTGATCCAATATTACGGTCGGTTATTAAGCCACATAAAGGTTTAACAGCTAATACAGTTTCAAATTGGATAAGGGATGTTATGGCCATGGCAGGTATTGATACTGCTAAATTTAAGCCTCATTCAGCTCGTAGTGCATCAACCAGTAAGGCCTTTAAAAAGGTACATCTGTAAATGAGGTATTAGAAATGGCAGACTGGTCACATGCAGGAACCTTTTATAAATTTTATTGTAGGTCTACATGCTTAGATAAATCAGATGGATTTTCCAAAGCAGTTTTGACTTTAGGTTAGTTGGAGCTTTGAACCTGCAATGTTATATCTTATGATGTTTTCTGAAATATAATTGAAGATTTTATGAGGGCATATTGCCCGAAATGAAATATTGATTATATGAAGAAAACTCATAAGATATAACATTGCAATCCCTCCACAGCCCACCCATAATCAGATTTTGACTTTAATTCATGCATTTTTCTTTTACTGAGTTACATTGATATATAATTATAATTCTAATATATTTCAGAGTGAAGAGACCCTATGAGTCAGAGAGCTGCACAGAAATGTCCTGGAAAAAATGTTATACCAGTATTGAAATTATTAAAGGATTGAAATAATAATATTGTGTTGTTATAAATCACAATTGCAAAATTGAAAGCATTGTTTAGTGGTCACTCAGGTGTGTCATTCACCTGTAAATGGACGAGTCTAAAAAACTTTCATAGGGGTGGTCACTTTAAACAGCTGATTTTTGAGCTAAATTTGAAGGCATTGCAATGTTATATCTTATGAGTTTTCTTCATATAATCAATATTTCATTTCGGGCAATATGCCCTCATAAAATCTTCAATTGTTTTTCACCATGATGTCAGGCCGAGAAATGATAAATATAATTTTTAGATCGTCTTTGGACTTCAATATATATGAATAACATAACTGGAATGTTCTGCTACTGGAAATAGTTGCAGATGGTTTTAATGCTTTAAAGTAATCACCAAAATTCCAAAGAGGATTTTTTTTAATCTTTTACATTGCAACGACATCGATGAAACGAAAGATGCATTCAATCATAAGGCTCTATCATGATAACAAAATGTTTATTGCTTCTATTTATTTGCAGTGTTTGCCATAGGTTAAATTGTTTACAAACAGAACTGAAGTTGCCATATCTTAATTATGTAGATCTTGACAATTTTCTCCAACATAAAACGTGCAACAAACGATCAGGGAATATCATCATTGCACACTTCCCTGTCTCAATCAACCACGTTGTCAACCCAAAACGCAATATCTGATAGAATGGAAACTTGGATATGGAACCTCAGAAAGTGTGTTATACAACGAATCTGTAGCATTGGATCGTGAAGGTACTAGTAATTCCTAATTATCCATTACCAAACGTTTCAATACCGGTAATAATTCTTTTAATTAAAAAAAAATAGATGTACTTTAAATAAGACACTATACTAAGAGCAAGATTCTATGTATTCTGATTCATATCTTCATTTCTGAACATAAGAAAATCTGCAGGGAATAAGAATTACACGTGCAGAATATGGAACGAGAGGTTAAATGTATACAGATTGAGCGGCATTACATATCTCCAGATAAATGGTAAGTGAGTTATATTATTTGATTCAATAATTCCTATATCTCTGATTGGCTGAGACCCATTAATGTAGAAAAAACAAATTCGTTATGTTCACCTGCACGTGACTTTCCAGGCTTCCTATCTAAGGCTGTATTAAAAGAAATTCGTTTTGGAGTTGGATTGCCACTTTCAGATCCTAGATCCTCTCATCCACAAAATTAAAAAATAATGAAAATTACAATTGTTATGCACTTCGTCAACAAAAACCAGTACAAACTCTATCGTGTAATCTATCTTCTTCTTCATTTTCATTTTAATTCATTGTCAAGATCTTTTTATCTTATTTCTTCCTTTCTTTTTTAAAATCATTTGATCTTACATTTCTTAAAATGAAGAGGAGTGTTGTCTATACATATATAAAATGAGAACAGTAGGAAATATGTTCATTTGAATTCACTAATAATGTTTAGATTCAAATCTTTAAAATAAATTGTTGTATTTATTTATATAGACTATCATTTTGAACGTAATTTTTGCAGAGTCGTCTAAAGGCATTTCCCCAGAGGCAGTTTATCAAAGTGGCGACAAAGTTTTCGTCAGTGAAAATGCTACCCTTCTCAGACTGTATTTTTTCTGGGAAGAAACCATGCTTCTTTTATAATATTACTTCTGACTATCCATAATTGTGCTAGATGCAGAAAAATTCGTATACCACATCAAAAAATTTCAACAGTTTTGTTAATTTTTCACATGCATATACAGCATTTATTATATATGTTAATAGCCCTGTTCCAAAAATTGAATGGCAGAACAAAAATGGAACCTATATATAACAACAAACGCCAAATACATCGTGGGTCAGTACGACGGCTTCAAATAATAAACGTAACATTTACTGATGAGGGTGTCTATGAATGTAAAACCAACAGTAACCTTGTTCGAAATCCATTCCTCAATGTCACATGTACGAAGAAGTTACCTCTTCAAAGTCTTTTAATCTTTTTTGCGATTGTACTTTTTTGATTCTTAATTGATTTTTTTTTATAAGAACAACTATTTCTTTCTTTTCAATTTTGCATTTAGCCCCTCCGCTTTTTCCTGATGTCGGTAAGCGTTTCATGACAAAATACTTCAGAATTCAACAAAAGTGTCCACTGCTCTCCAATGCAACGCAATGTCCACAGCAGCCAAAATTGATCCCATTGTAATGATTTGGATGAAAAAATGGAGAGATCTTAAATGAAGGTTTGTTGTTGTTGTTTTTTTTTTTTTTTACAAATGCATGTAGTGTTTTCTAGTGTAAACATAATTGTTCTTATATTATTATATATATTCAATTGATAATAATATTAGAATCCATCATTGGTCTTCTGTTCATAATTAATGAAGTACTAATAATATATCTTTTTAACAGATGTTAGATACCAGCTTTCACAGGACAAAAAGAATCTTCATATTCACAACGAGAAGTCAGACGACAGTGGTTGTTACACATGTTTGATAGAAAATAGTGAAGGAATTGCTGTAGCAAATGTTTTACTCCCAAACGGTAATATTTTTTCCAAGTTATTAGTTTTTAATTAAAGTTAAAAGTTGATGCAATATCATAGGTTAAAACATTAGTATGACATCATCTTTTGTTCTTTTTTGTGCTTTCTATTTCTTGCAAGGCCCAAAACAGTCCAATAAGTTACCTGAAACTGTTCAATAAGTTTTAAAATCTGTCCATTATTAAAAATAACGGACAGTTATCAAAAACTTATTGGATGGCTACAGGTAACCTACTGGATTGAGAAAACACAACACAAATAAGCCCAAAAATTTTTTTTCAGGCAATGAATCCAACATGTTTCAAAGTGAAATAAAATAATCCATTCCAAGTCAAATGCAGCAACAAAATTTTCATTTCCGGGTACCTCACAAATGGAGTTGTGTATTGAGTTAAGCATGTTTCTGGTTCATACAAAGCTTTCGAGGAAAACTTAAGTAGTTTTACAAAGCAGAAGGGTTCTCCGACTTACGATAGATGAATGGCGTGTCATAAAAGCTTGGGTGTGAGTGTCCATGTGGAAAATTTCGATCAAAGTCAGAAAATGTCATCTGTTTCGTGTTTATTTTGAGCGAAAAAGAAGTGTTTTATTTTATACCCAAATGAAATAGTTTCCTAATCATCTTTTGAATTAATTTGTTGACAGATTTTTCTTAAATCCGAGGACAATAATGTTCTTACTAGCTGATTATAGAAGAGGAGTTTGTCATTGTCTGATGGGTACAAACGTCATACTGTGGCTTTATCACTTTTGTTTGGGTTAATAATTTATTAAAAATACGTTTAATCAGTAAAGTTTTACCTGTTGTATGTCAGTGGATCGAGCATTGAATATTATTTGTGACCATTTATCAGGTCCAGCACAATACCCTGATAAAGGTATATAGCTTGATAAAGCTATGTAGCTTTATCGAGGTATTACAAATACCTTAATCAAGGTATTTTATGTACTGAAAATTCAAAAATAGTCTGTAAAAATAAATACTGAAAATCAATTTTTTGTCAGTAAATTCACCCATGCATGTAAAGAACTCAAATAAATCAGTATAAAAGTATGTCGTTTGAGGAGACGTTTTTTAAGCTGTCTTTTTGATACCATAGTGCTTTTCATGAACGAGTGGACACACTGACAAAAACTTGAATTCTTATTAAATAAAATACCTTGAACAAGGTATTTGTAATACCTCGATAAAGCTATATAGCTTTATCAAGCTATATACCTTTATCAAGATATTGTGCTGGACTTGTTTATTTCAAAAGGATTAGATGTTCATATATTTTGCTATCTCTCTGTATTCAACATTTCACATCTGTTTAACACAATTCATATCACTACAAAAACAATTTTTACAAGACCAAATTTCTTAGTTAAAAAGTGTACATTCCCTGAACATGGCATGGGCATTTGGTTAAATTTCTGTCTGTTCAATTATTCCTTGAACATAAAGACATTATAAAACTTATTTTAGCAGAAGTACAAGACAACCTGGCTGAGGAACACAGATGAAAGACGCAGTTGCTTTAAGCAGCACCTAAGACTAAACGCAAATCAAATACAGGGATGTAATAATTGATGCAACAAAATAAGTTCTCAGACATATGACCATTTTCACCTCAGTTTGGACTTTCAGTAGGGCGTGGCATTCTCTGCGCTACGTAATGGCGGATACTAGTAGATTCTCATTGGTTAAGAAATTAATAACATCAGGAACTTTAAATTGTTGTTGACAACGATGAGACGACTTATGTTGGTCACCTCTGTGCCATGAGAGAACTTTTAATTAGCTATTTACTAATTTCTACACCAGTTGACATTTGGCCGACTTTCTATCCTATGTATATTTCAACAGTGAATGAAGGCTGTGTAAATTTTAGAAGCTAATTAGGTAACGTTGAGAATGCCACATCTTACTGAAAGTCCAAACTAAGTTAGTAATGGCCTATACATGTATAAAATTTATTCTCATACATGTTCATGTGTAAGACATAGTATATCATAAAATGAAAAAAAGGTCTGTTATGTCCAGTGATGCTTTACCCTCAACCCCCACCCCAAGGTTTTAAACATTTACCCATAATTCATCTGTATTATCCTCTCACCTCACTATTAAACTTGAGTGGAACAGCTTTTTACTGGCATAATTACCAGTGTTAGATTGACTTGTCCGGTGTGAGACAGCAGTGTGAGATTTTTCTGTCTTGCACTGTGTATTACTACGACGCGAAAGATAACGTAAACATTCCGTCTTGATATAAAGAAATTGTAAAAATGTTTGAAAATATCACATATGATTAAAATGTTGTCATTTAACTTATTAAAATAAACTTATTTTCATTCGAAATATTGTCGTTTTTTTTTTACTTTTTAAATGCCACTATATTTAGATCGCGGAAGAATTCTTTTAGAATGAATGGTTAAGCTATCGGATAGATAAGTTTTTTATTCCCAGTTTTAATCTGTCTAATTAATTTACATGCAC